GCAGCTCTTCTTGAGTTCTGGTATTCCATAGCTGATCCTTTCTTCTTAATCCTCTTCTTTCATTTCTTTTTCCAAGATTTCTTTTTAAGATTATCAACATGGTTTCAACAAACCAGAGCTCACGTCAATTACCAGAATATTTGACAAATTCATCAAATTCACATTACTTACATCCCAATGAAAATCTATCACTGGTTCTTGTATCACCAGTATTTGATGGAAAGAACTATCATTCCTGGAGCAGAGCAATGAAAATGTTATTAAAATCGAAGAACAAGTTGGGTTTTATCGATGGATCAATTGTTGTTCCATGGGAAACAGATCATATTTCCTCTGCATGGGATAGATGTAATACCATGGTACTTTATTGGCTTCACCATTCCATTATAGATTCAATCGTCCAATCAATTGTATGTGTTGATCAAGCGTTCGAAGTGTGGAAAGATCTTTAAGAAAGATTTTCTCAATCATATGCATTTCGCATTGCTGATCTTCAAGAAGACCCATTTCCCATGTGTCAAGGTGAATGCACAGTTTCTCAATACTTTACAAGACTTAAAGCAATATTGGATGAATTAGATGGTATGCAACCACTATCTAAATGCAACTGTAATCCAACATGTGCTTGTGGAAATTTAATGCAAATGCAGGCTCATACCAATCGAGAAAAAGATCATGTAATCCGATTCTTGAGAGGTTTAAATGAGCAATTATCTAATGTTCGATCGCAGATGATGCTTATGGATCCACTACCCAATGTGAATCGAGCCTCTTCTTTGATTGTTCAACAAGAAAGGCAGTTATCCGCTAATATCAATTCTGATGTTAAATTTTTTTGAATGCTCCTGAACAAAATTTCCCTCGTGCTAATACTGGACATATGTATAGCATTGACCAAAGCTTCAATCTGGGAATATCTCACAAAGAGGCAGAGGTTGTTCCAACTATGGGCGAGGTAGATCAAATGTTGGAAAGTTATATACACATTGTGGAAAATCCAATCACACAATTGAAACCAGTTTTGAAAAACATGGTTACCCACCTAGTTATAAGACCAGATTTCCAAGAAAGGTCAATATGGCTTCTCATGATGATTTTGATCCTTTTAATCTTGTACAAGAAGAAGCAAATATTGCAGTAGACAACAATGATCAACTTCATCTCACTAAAGAACAGTATCATAATCTGATTGGTTTATTAAAGGATTCGAAGCAAGAAAGTTCACATAGCTCCAATTTGGTTCAGGTTAATACTAGTTCTTTAACTCCAGGTAATCTTTCTTTCCAATGGATCCTTGACATTTGTGCCACTGATCACATCTGTCACCAAAGTTCCTTATTTTCATCTCTTCGAAACATCAAACCTATCTCTATCAAATTACATATGGCAATCAAGTTGTTTCCACTCAAACAGGAAATATCCAATTATCCCATTCTTTCACACTATACAATGTATTATTTGTTGCCAGTTTTCATGTGAATCTTATATCCATTGCCAAACTAACTCATGTATTGTCATGTACTTTTTCACTCACTTAAATGTTCCATTTTGCAGAACAATACCTTGAAGATTATTGGTTCAGCTAAACAGAATCATGGCCTTTTCACCCTCAATCCAAGTGAAAATTCTGTTGAGCATAGTTGTAATCATACTGTTTTTGAGTCATCCAAGCTATGGCATCTTCGACTTGGCCATTGTTCAAAATCTGTTTTACACAATATGTCAGTACTTTTTCCTTTTATTTCATGTACAGATAATCTTGATCCTTGTGATATATGTCATATTTCCAAACAAAAGAAATTATCCTTTTTATCTAGTGTAATTGAATCTTCCAGCCCCTTCAATATTATACATGCTGATATATGGTGTTCATATGCTATTTAATCCATACATGGTCATCGTTATTTTCTTATATTAGTTGATGATCATTCCCGTTTCACATGGATCATACCAATGAAGAAACAAGAAAACACATATACAATTTTACTGCCAGTTCAAACACAATTTCATAAGACTATCCAAATATTTAGAACAAACAATGGTATTGAATTTGCCATGACTGATTTTCTTAAAACAAAAGGAATTCAACATCAAACTTCTTGTGTTGAATGTCCTCAACAAAATGGTGTAGTAGAACGTAAACACCAACACATATTAAATGTTGTCCGAGCCCTTTTATTCCAAAGTCATATTCCTAAATCATATTGGTGTTATTGTGTCACCCTTGCTGTTCATATTATCAACAGATTAACCACACCATCCTTAAATAATAAAACTCCATATGAATGTTTATATGGTGTTCCTCCTGTCTTCATACATTTAAAAGTATTTGGTTCTCTTTGTTTTGTTTCTACTCTTACTCAACAACGTACAAAATTTGATTCCCATGCCAAGAAATGTGTCTTCCTTGGTTATAAAGAAGGTACCAAAGGATACCTTGCTCTTGATTTAAACACAAATGAAATCATTGTCTCTAGAAATCTAATATTCTCTGAAGACAATTTTCCCTTTGTCCATAAAACTTCAGAGCAATATTCCACTCCATTCATTCTTCCTTCAGCAACTTCAGATCTCAATCATGAAGATTTCATTTCTCATGCTAATGAAACAATTCCAATGAAACATTCCTTAAATACCAACCTTGTTTCAACAGTTAACCCATCTACTGTCTCAAATTCTCCTCCAATTCGTAGATCAACTCGAATCAGATCTGCCCCTCAATACTTAGCAGGATTTCATTGTGGATTATCCAGTTTACTTGACTCCAATTCATCATCAGGTATGTCCTCTGTAAACCTATATCCTCTATCAGATTTCCTTTCTTATAAAAAATGCTCCCACACCTATGCTATTTTTTGTGCTAACCTTTTGACCATAACTGAACCAAAGAATTACAAAGAAGCTGTTTCCATTCCATGCTGGCAAGATGCTATGGCAACTGAACTTCAAGCTTTAAAACAAAACAATACATGGAAATTGATTGAACTTCCACCAAACAAACAACAAATAGGCTGTAAATGGGTATACAAAATCAAAAGGAAACCTGATGGTTTAGTGGATCGTTATAAAGGTCGATTGGTTGCTAAAGGTTATGCTCAATGTGAAGGGATTGATTATTTTCAAACTTTTTCTCCAGTAGCAAAAATGACCATTGTTTGGACACTTCTTGCCATTGTTATTGCTCAAAATTGGCATTTAGAACAACTTGGTGTTGATAATGCCTTTTTTCATGGAGATCTCCTTGAAGAGTTCTACATGCAATTACCTCCCGGTCTCAACTGTTCTTCAGCTAATATGGTTTGCAAACTAGAAATTTTCTTTATGGTTTGAAAAAAACAAGCCGACAATGGAATGCCAAATTGACTTCAACACTATGTCAACTTGGTTATTCCCAATCCATAGCTAATTACTCTCTTTTTACCAAGAAGATTGCTACTTCGTTTACTGCTCTCTTGGTGTATGTTGATGATCTTGTTCTTACTGGGAATGACATGACAGAAATAAATCATGTTAAGTTTCTTTACATAATCAATTTCGTATCAAAGATTTGGGTAAACTCAGATATTTTCTTGGCTTGGAAGTTGCTAGATCCAAACATGGCCTCATTCTCAATCAACACAAATATGCTCTTGAATTGATAGCTGATTCTGGTGTACTTGCAGCTAAACCAATTTCCACACCATTAACTCCTTCTCACAAGTTAAGTCGTGACCAAGGTATACCTTATTCTGATCCTGTTGCTTACCGCCGATTAGTGGGCAAATTATTATATCTCACCACAAGACCAGATATTACACATTCAGTCCAGCAATTGAGCCAATTCATGGCTTCTCCTACATAAGTTCATTATACGGCAGCTTGTCATGTTCTTCGATACCTCAAGGCTTCTCCTAGTAAAGGTCTTCTCTTTCCTGCAGTGAATTCTCTTTCTTTATCTGGATTTGCTGATAGCGATTGGGCTTGTTGCCCGGATACTTGGAAGTCTATCACTAGAATGTGTGTTTTTTTTGGATCATCATTAATTTGTTAACGTTCCAAGAAACAAAATACGGTTTCCCGTTCTTCATCTGAAGCTGAATACCGTGCACTCGCAAACTTAACATGTGAGATTCAATGGCTTGCTTATTTGTTTCAAGATCTTGGCATTCCTTTTACTCAACCTGTTCTAGTGTATTGTGATAGTTAATCTGCAATTTATCTTGCTCAGAATCCAAGTTTTCATGAACGTAGCAAGCACATTGACATTGATTGTCATATAACAAGAGAAAAGATCAATACTGGTCCTTTGAAACTACTTTGTGTTACTTCTCAACACCAACTTGCTGATGTCCTCACCAAATCCCTGCATCCAACACCTTTTCAAAAGAATATTTCCAAGTTGGGATTGGTTGATATAACCCTCCCAACTTGAGAGGGGGGGGGGGTATTGGGAATTAGTTAATTCTGTTAAGTTCTTTATTAGTTAGTTAGTTAACTCTGTTATAAACTACTGATATAAATATATTACTTTAGTCAATGTAATTTGTAATTCTCATTTTCGACGAAGTTTCTTTCGTCTTTGATTCATACTTCTTCACAAGTAATACTTTATAATTGAAATTGTTATTTATTTATGATTTTATATTATATTTTTATTAATAATAAAACCTATTTTATCTATTTTATTTGATTTATAAAATAATAAAAATAAATTGGATTTATATTTGATTTATATAATTATCAAGTTATTTAAATTTAATTATTATAAACCCCAAAGGGTAGCTCAGTTGGCACTGAGCTCCCTAGAATTTGCTTGGGTAAGAGATTCAGGGGTTCAAATTCTGTTTCAAACAAATTTTTTGGGCCATCTTTGGACGTACTCTGCGAAGTTGAATATAAATATATAAAATCTAATTATTATGTAAAAGTTACAAATATATGTTCAATTGTTCTCTCAAAAATTAATACAAATTTTATTTATTAAGGATATTTTCATATTTTAGTACTTTCCGAACTTCAGAGAGAGAGGTATATTTTAGTACTTCTTACCAAAACAGGAAGTAACAAATTTGAACTTGATTATATGAATGAGATTGTTAATATGGTAATGAAAGATGTATTTTTTTTGTGAAAATATTGAATTTGTATTTATTAATTGTTATAGGTGTTGATTTTCGTGTTCTTTTTTTTTTTGGTTCAGACGTGTAGTTGTTATCTGTGAAGCTGTGAACGGAGACGATGGAAATTATGAGGGACTCGGACGCTGATTTATGGAAACAAATTGAGGTTTCAGAGAGGTGATGTTTGTTATTGGAATTTGATACTTATGATCTCTAATTTCAAAAAGCACAATCATCTCTCTCTGACTTGTTTTTTTTATTAGGGTACCTATTGCTATTGTTATTGTTATTGCTTATGATGTTTTGTTGGGCATTGCAGCTACCTTGTTTGCTCCATGTACGAAGAAGCAGCATCATTAGCTTCCTCTATTTTGAAGTGCTTGCGTTATGATTATAATGATGCTACTCAAGATATGTTGGAATCAACTGCTATGGTGCTCGTTCAGGCATTCAAGGAACTTGGCAGGTATCTTTCTTTTTTTCTTAAAAATTAAAATTTAAAAATTGAATTATAATAATAATCATGAATTTGTGGGTGGTCTTCTGCAGGACACCAGAAATTCTTAATCAACTCAGACCTCATTTCATTTCAGTAAAAGCTATTCCCTCCAGAGTTCTTCTTACTGGGTATGCTATTGCTATGCTTAGCTTCACTCTTATTGCATCTGTTAATCTTGATTTCTTTAAGATCTTCCAATTAATAACAATTTAACAAAGTTTGAAGACCATTATGTCATGTGTGATCCTATTCTTGAATGAATCTTGATACTTACCTTAGATAGTTTATTCAGGGTTCTACATTTTGTGCTTGCCTGTATGAGTCTGGGCTTTGCTATAGAGTCTGACAAGGGTCATGCTGTTTTAATATTATCCATATAATTGTGTCTGCAAACATGGTTTTGGAAAGTGACAATAGATGAGGAGAGTTATGTTCATGCTTCTCTTTTGGTTCAGAGCCTGTTTTCAAATAGCAGAAGGTTCTGTTTTTGGCGTTCAAGAATTTCTTGAGGAGTTTCTGAACGGATGGACTCTTGGGGATGCACAATATAGTGCTGTCATTGCAGAAGCAAATGTAGAGCATGAAAGTAGACATGAAAGGCACTTTGTTCTTGGAATTGATATGTATTTGGAAGTTGTTGAGGTCTATGCCGTTACACTTCTTGCTACAGTTCTAAAAGATGTAGATCTTGCAATTTCCTGGGTTGAGAATGCTTCATTGCCTGAGGAAAACCGACAGGTAAGGGTGTTCTCTACAGATTAAGATTTTACGTAATTATATGAATCTAGATTAAAGCTTTTGCAATTTGGCATTTGAACTGCTAATGGGAAACAGAGTTACAGTGCGGTTTTGGCTGATTGAAAATGCACAATTTGCTAGCTGACATGCACTGTTTGAACAGTGCATCAACTGGGTTTTCTGTGTATGACTCATTTAACTGAACTGGATGACGTGGTTGAGTGGCAACTGAGCATTAAGTTGTCAATTGTCATTATGCACATCCTTGAAAATGATCCCTTCATACATGTGATTTTATACCAATTTCAACAATTGGTATTAAGAGACTGAGCCTGAAGCAGTGATAAAACTGTTCCTTTGTGACTGAAAGGTTACTGGTTCGAATCCGGGAAACAACATCTTTGCAAATAAGCAAAGGTAAGACTGCGTATAAGGATTGCCCTCACCCACCCTCGCTAGTCAGGGTTTGATGGGGAGTGGTTCAACAACTGGTATTAAGTTTTTTGTTTTAATTTTCTCTTTGTTATTTGTTGTTATTCTTTAATGGATGTGATCATGAAAGTAAATTTCATTGAGTTGATTATTAAAAGAAATTTTTTTGGGCATGTAAAGTTTAAAACTTAAAGCATGATAATGGAGTTACTCTGGGTAAGCTCATGGATTCTGACCCTATAATTCTTTTTTTCTATATAGTCTTTTACTTAGTGAAAGTTGTGCATGGTCATCTTCTGTAAGCAATATCTCTTTTATATTCATGCATGTTTATCTTTTTCTTTTAACTACTGTTTTCAGTAAAATAAAATGGTAGACTGCATTCTCTGTAATTTAATTATCCATCTTGCTCAAAGGGAACCAGCTGTAAGTTTTTATCCGTATGTTGGTTTATTAGTCTAAGATGACACTATTTTGAAGTTAGCTGTCATTTCTTGGATTGTACACATTTTATGATAAATTGCTTATTATTTGTGTTAAATATAATTTATCATAATGGTAAATATGTAGGTTTAATTACTATGCATAAAAGGAGGAATTTATTTCGAGTTTCTAACAGCTAAGGAAACATATGGCCTATACAAAAGTGAACTTAAAAAATAAAAGGAAAAAAGCTGTAGTGTGATTATTTTGTTGTGTAGAGTGGTTATTTCACCTGTATAACTTGGTACCTGGCAGATTAATCATTGAAAGTATGATGACCATTTTCCGCAACATAATAACTCACTCTCTAGTCTCTACATCATAATCAGCTCACTATCTGGTCTGTAACTGAATAAGAAAATGCCTCTTTTTGTAAATATTGGCCTGTTTGTTCTTAGTTGTGATTTTCCCATTCGTTAATTAATTTTTTGTATGCCACTGAATTTGTAGGGAATTCTGAGGAGGTTACAGTCTATGCATTCTCTTAAAAATACCATTTTGTCTCAAACTACCTTTCCGCAGTCACCTACCAATAACAATGAAGCTTATTCTTTGAAAGAATTAAATGCGTGTGAAGGATCAGCTAAAGCCTTGAAAGGAAAACATAGGGACAATCAAAAGTATAGATCCAAAGAAGCTGTTCCAAAACTGTCTGAACGAATAGAAACATGTTTCTGGTGCTTCCGTTCTATCAATTTGAAGTTTGGCACTGCCAAGTTTGTCATATCTAGTGGGAAGATTATGCTTGGTTGTTTGATCTTGTTCATCTATTATGTGTACAGAAAGAAGCAACATACTTTTAAAAGGTACTCACTTAGATTCATGTCTCCCTAGTAATATATACTAGAATATTTCCATAATGCGTCAAGTATTCCATGTCCATATCCTCTCACCTTAAAGTACATGATCACCGTTGCATATCAAAAGTTGGTTCAGTTTAAATTGATCTTTTTTCCAACCGTTTTTGGTTGTTGTTGTTCTTTTTTGGGTGGGGGTTGGTGGGCTTTATGAAAAGCTATGAATATATTTAATTTTAACAGGTGTCAAGGGCTAGTGGACTATCTTTTATTGAAGCTATCCTTACTTAATTTATACTAATAACTTGATAAACTGATGCGTAATTTGTATGTAGAATGAGGGAATATTATCGTGGAGTTTAACTTGAAGTGGTGTGTTTTAGAATATACCTAGGACTGATGGACCTCCAGATTCTGTATGGGCAGGTTATCAGTTGTTATTGTGACGCACACTTATGATTCCTAGTGTCATAAGGGTTTGCATGACAACTATTATGTTTTTTAACATTGCTTTTGAAAAAAATAATTTTCCTTTTTTTTTTCTGGGCTTAGGAAGAGTTTCCAGGCAAAAAAAAATATCAACTTATTTTTATACCTAGAGAGAGAGTGTGTGTAATTAATGCTGATAACATATTTTAAGATGTCTTTATTTAAAAAATATTGTCTCAAGGAACAAGAAAAAAATCTTAATTCTGTTAATTTGTGTTTCCGATCAACCGGTTCCTTCTCTAGAACAAAAAAAAAACAGATTTATCAAATGCTATTTCTAAACATTTTTGTTCCCCGGACTAAAAACAAATAAAAAAAACGTTTATGGGAATGTTGTCATGCAGACCCTGAGATACAAAATTTGTAGGATATGTAAACCTTTTTTCAAGAGTCATGCCATTCCAATTGGGTTGACCTATTTGGCACTGGCTTTGATGTAAAAGGTTTTCATTTCATTGAGTTCAAGGCTCCTTATTGCAATTCTAGGTTGGCTATTCATGTGATTTATTTTATTTTTGAACATATATTCAACTTTGATTTTGATTGTTATTTTAATAACTGTTGTAATTTCTTATTTTACCCACTGAGTATGAGATTTTCCCATAAATTGTATTGAAGTTCTTAAGAAATCTGTTGTCGTCATGATCAAAATCTGTATCACTTTCTGCTGTGTCTCATGGTGAAGAAGCGAGCAGATTTTATTTATTCATATGGATTTTTGAGTAAGCTTGGGGTTGAGTCACCAAGTGGGTCTGTTATACTGTATAATAAGTTAATGAATTTCCTACTGTGCTATCTTTACTGTAACCCAATTTTGTTGAATGGATTTGTAAGACTAAAATCAAGTTCCGCGGAATTTACTCTACTTGCTTCAGAGGGTTATGTAGTTCTGAATGACTACTGTTCATGGTTTAGGATTGTAAGAAGACAAGCAATCGCCATGAAGAGGGCTTTGGTCGATTTGTGGCGTCTTGCATTTTCGTATCAAGTAAATCCTCTGGCAGCTGTTCAACCACTCTCTGCTGCAGTTCGTCAAGGTCAGTGATGGAATTGATGATCAAGCATGACCTTCACGAGTTTGTCGTAAGTAATCCTCAGTATACCTTCCTGACTAGCCTTATAGTTCCAGAAAGGCAACATTGTATTGTTTGAAGTTGCACTTCCTTATGCTGATCAATAACGCCTTAACATTTAGATGTTTTAAATTCATGGGAAAGGGGCACATCAATTCATGTATTATATTCTCTGTACTAGGAATATCTGAGATTAATGTACTGTCTTAAAATAAACTCGTGAAAAAGAGATCACATATCCACTGCAGAATGCAATTATTGTCATGATCGCAAGTTGTAATTACAACAGGGTATTTTGCTCTGCATAGAAAAGCCATCACTTTGATATGTTTTCTGTGCCAAGACTCTGAAAAGTAGTAGGAGTATTTTGAACTTTGGATTTTAGGATGGTTTAAGTTAGAGCTACTTATCTTATATGTTACTCAAAACTGTATGCCAATACATGAAGTAAATCAAGTTATGATGTTTATTGTAAGTTGGGTAAACTAGTACAACGCCCCAAAAGAAAATGGCTATTGTTTTGCGGATTCAAAAATCATGACTCTTTTATTTTATCTGGACATATACGAGGGCTGCATGGGAACACGCCACGCTAGCACTGTGCTATCTGGTTCCAACGATGTAACTAGAAAATATATAGAAAAACATTGGCCTAACATATTTTTAGCTTCTGACTTTAAATGCAAGTTAGATTAGTGCTTTTCAAGGATTGGAAGATTGAAACAATTAAAGTCGAATGGCAGCTGACTTTTTCATTTGGCAGAAACAGCAAATTAGTATTCCGCATCAATCTTTCTCTTACCTTAATATGTATGAGAAAGTTTTAAGATAAAAAAAAAAGGCAGCTACAAATTTTTTTAGTTAAGTAATTTTGTTTTAATGCAACATTAAAGCAGTATTATTATTTCATAATATATAACGTTAAAAATATAATGTAATTTTATTTCGTAATATTATTTTTTTATTGTTTTTCAGAAGATTTTTCTCAGCGTTATTATGAGAGCATAATTATATTTTTAATTAATTGCAATTTTCATATAATGAAAGAAAAAAATCAATAACGAAATTATTATTATTTTCGTAAATTTATAAGCAATGAGAAGGAGAAAGTAGCTGTAGTGTGTGTGGTATTTTCAAAGGCTGGCCGTGTATTTCTGACAATGAAGACACACACACATATATTATAAACATTCTCATGCAAACTAGAAATAAATAAAAGGACTTCGTCAACCTCACTCTCTCTGTATCCTATTCTTAGCTCTCTTTCTTTCTCTCTCTTCTCTCTCGCTTCTCCTTTCAATGCCAATGCCAATGCCATCTAAAGTTTCTCCACCCTTCAAAGTAGCATCTTCATAGCAAAAAGCAGGCACTTTCTCAAGGGAGCGCACGCCACACCCTTCCCTTGTGCGTGTGTGCCTACCCTTTTTCACTAATGGCACTCAATAATATCACTTGGTGCCCATTCATATTCATCCTCTTATTATTATTATTATTATATGTTATTCCCTCTTATGCTAATGGTGCTTCAGACACAGAATCCCTCCTCAAATTTAAGGAGTCCCTCCAAAACAACAATGCATTATCATCATGGAATGCATCATCAATCCCTCCATGTTCAGGTGATGCTGCCAATTGGTATGGCATTCTGTGCTATAAAGGACATACATGGGGTTTGAGGCTTGAGAATATGGGCCTCAAGGGAGTCATTGATGTTGACTCCCTCAAGGAGTTACCATATCTCAGAACCATAAGCTTCATTAACAATGATTTTGATAGCACATGGCCAGAGCTACACAAGCTAGTTGGTTTGAAGACCATTTACCTTTCAAATAACAAGTTTTCAGGGGAGGTTCCTGCTCAAGCTTTTGAGGGTATGCAATGGTTGAAGAAAATTCATTTGTCAAATAATCACTTTACAGGTGCTATTCCAACTTCTTTAGCATCCTTGCCTAGGCTTATAGACTTGAGGTTGGACGGCAACAAATTCAGTGGCACCATTCCCAATTTTCAGCAAATGTTGAAATCATTTACCGTAGCTAATAATCAATTAGAGGGAGAAATACCAGCCAGCCTTAGCAAGATGCTCGCTTCATCTTTTTCAGGTAATTAACACATCTTATTAATATCAATTCTTTAATATCTATAGTTGACTTGTTCTTTGATTAATACTACATATTATAGTTGCATACTTGGATTGATACATACATATACATATATATATATATATATATATATATATATATATATATATATATAGGGTTCTTCGTTTCTGCTGTCGCTGCAGATGAGAAAAGTTGCAGCAAACTTTTAACACTAGGATACGGAGCCGTATCCTGGAATAAAAAAACAAAAAAAACACATTACAATACGGAAGTATCCTGATGAAAATAAATATTGCTGCATATTTTCTCATCTGCAGCGACATGAGAGCTATTAAAGTCATATATATATATATATATATGGGAAATATAAGAATCATATTGTAGGAATTCCTGCAACAAAAAAATAACTATCTACTATAGGTAATACATAATTATATAGGAATATAAAAAAAATAATTATGTACTATCCGTAGAAAATTGGAGGGACTATATATATATATATTGGCAAAGTCAAATGAGAATAAAAACTAGTTAATGTATAACCCAAATGCATGCATGAGCAGGTAATGAAAAGCTATGTGGAGCCCCGTTAGGTGCATGCTCCTCTAATAAGAAGAAATCAACAGTCAGTGTTGTTGTGGTTGCGGTTCTTGTTAGTGTGGCATTGATTGTGATAATTGGAGCATTGATATTATTAGTCCTCCGTCGAAGAAGAAAACAAGCACCAACAGTGACTAGGGAAAACTCACCATCTAGCCTTGAAAAGAAAGTAGGAGCAATGGAATCATCAGATGAAGGGAGCCATAGGTCTACAAGGTCTTCAAGGTCCCAAGGTTCTAACAACAGCATGAAGTTGTCCTTCGTGAGGGATGACAGAGATCAGTTTGATTTGCAAGAACTGCTGAGAGCCTCTGCTGAGATATTGGGTAGTGGTTGTTACAGTTCTTCCTACAAGGCTGGTTTGTTAAATGGCCCAACCATGGTGGTGAAGAGATTCAAACAAATGAACAATGTAGGGAGGGAAGAGTTTCAGGAACACATGAGAAGGTTAGGAAGGTTGAATCATCCTAATCTGCTTCCTCTCGTTGCTTACTACTACAGAAAGGAAGAGAAGCTCTTGGTCACCGACTATGTTCAGAATGGCAGCTTGGCTGTTCGCCTACATGGTACGAATATATATATGCATATATTTATTTATTATTATCAATACGTGTGTTAGAGAAAGTCTAACATAAAATCATTAATGTAGATATTAGTTATAAGCTTGAGTTTTTAGTTGAAGTGGATGTTTAACATGGTGTCAGAAACGGGAAGGGTTGCATTAGAGAAATAATATATATGTTCTTGTTGAGATATATAAAATCATTAATGTAACTTCACCCAACAGCTTAAGCTTTTAGGTTGAATTGGTTATTTACATGGTATCAGAGCCTCGTGTCCCGGGTTCGATCCTCGCCGTCCCCCACTTTCTTTCAAGTGGAATTTCTTTGTTCGTACAGGTAAGTGAGCCTCGTGTGAGGGGGCGTGTTGAGATATATAAAATCATTAATGTAGCTTAAGCTTTTGGGTTGAATTGATTCTTTACAATACAAAGCCATAAAGTAATTCTTACTTAATAGCTTGAACTTTTAGATGAGATGATTGTTTATTAGCGTGCATATTGTTTTTAGGAAAATTATTACATTAAAATACAGAACAATAATTTAATTATTGAGGTAGGATATTTATAGTACCACTTTTTTCTACTATTAATCCACTATCATTCTAATCATCGTTGGATAAAACTTTTCAGCAAAAAGTAAGTGGAAAGAGAGGAAAATTACTGAAAAATTTGATCTAGCGGTGATTAGAATGGTAATGAATTGATAATAGAAAAAAATGGTAGTATGAATACCTCTTAGATACTTAAGTTGTGTCTTGTGAGCTCATCATTTATGTAATGGACAAAAGATGACCTAGATATATATGGATCTAATTGAGATGTCAAATTCTATATATGTAGAAAGTTACATGTAGTGAAAATATATCATGTGTGTGTGAGTGTGTGTAGATGCTTATATATAATTTGTTGGTTCAGGATACCATGCTGTGGGGCAACCAAGCCTTGATTGGCCAACGAGGTTGAAGATTGTGAAAGGAATAGCAAAAGGTGTTGAATATCTGTACAAGGAGTTGCCAAGCATAATAGCACCACATGGACATCTTAAATCCTCCAACGTTCTTCTGAATGAGTCTTTGGAACCGATACTCACAGATTATGGGTTGGTACCAGTTATAAATCAGGATCTTGCACCTGAAATCATGGTGAGCTACAAGTCCCCAGAGTATTTGCAACATGGCCGTATAACAAAGAAGACAGATGTTTGGAGTCTTGGGATACTCATTTTGGAGATTCTTACAGGCAAGTTACCAACTAACTTTCTACAACAAGGTAAAGGAAGTGAGTTGAGTATGGCAAATTGGGTGGACTCTGTTGTCCCTGAAGAGTGGACTTCTGAGGTGTTTGATAAAGACATGGAGGTAACCAAAAACAATGAGGGGGAGATGGTCAAGCTTTTGAAGATTGCATTGGCTTCTTGTGAACTTGATATAGACAAGAGATGGGATTTGAAAGAAGCTGTAGAAAATATTCTAGAGGTTAAGGAAAGGGATCATAATGATCAAGAGGATTTCTATTCTTCTTAATTAAGCTATTCTTATTATAAAGTCTTCAATTCAAATTAAGGGCTTAATTATTTTTCAGCTAGCTTCTCCCTATATATAAGGTCCAATTATAGAGATCATGGAGTTTAGGTTGGATAACTCCATTTTTGTTATATCAAATATATCTTGGGATTTGCATTGCAATCGCTATCTCTATCTCTCTTACACACACTTGTTAGCTATATTTAAAAATGAGTAAATACTTTTTTTGGTCCTCAGTGAATTTTACGATGCCCGCTTTAATTCCTAGTAAATAAAAAAGTCCATCGTGGTCCCTAAAAAATTCCAAATGGAACCATTTAGTTGAAATCGTGGTCCCTCACAAATTTTAAAAAAACCCATATTAGTCCTCAAAAGGACTAAAATGGGTCCATTTTGAATTTTTTAGGGACCACGATGAGCCTTTCTATTTGCTAGGGACTAAAACGGGTATCGTGAAATTTGCTGGGGACAAAAAATAGTATTTACTATTTAAAAATTTCACTAACTTCCAATTTGAAGGTAGCTAGCTAGCTTGGTTGAATATTACCCTTTGAATTTTGAAAAAGAACATGTACAGTTAGGAAGGAAAATAGTTTTGTTAAATTTTAACAAGTCTTTTATTACTTAAGGAGTGCATTGTCAATATCATATGTACAGTAGGTTGGTTCAGTATGATTAATGTCATTATATACTCGATCGACTAATGATTCATTGAAAAAAAAATCTCAAATTAATAATGGTAACAGTGTTTAAAGTAAACATTGCTTGTAAGAGAGAGAAAATTGAACCCTAACACTAGTGAATGTGAGTTATTAAAAAAGGAAAAAGAAAAATGAGATTATTAATTAATTTGGACTAAATGCTAAAAATGAAGAAATAATTAATATAATTAATTAGTGAATGTGAATATTTTGTCACTTTTTAATATATGGTTATAGTTAAAAAATAAAAGTAACCAAACAAATTAAATTTTTATCTTTAATTGTTTCACATTATTCAATCTCGGTTGTTGACCTCATTTACCTTTAATAATTCATATGATAGATTAATAATAAATTAAAACCGATAATTAAACCCCCCATGCTCTATATATCGTACTATGACCTGTGATACGGTGAAGACCATTATTATTATTTTTTCGGTAAACGAAGACCATTATTTTTATTATAGAGTCTGCTAAGTCAATTTGATGATAAAAAATATATTGTTGGACAAAATTTTCAAGTTAGGAGACATGAAGATCTATAATCAATACTTATTCATAAATCAAGACATTAATTATCTTTAGATGAGCAAAACTAGTTAACATAATTTTCGTCTTTATCTATAAGTATAATTGTAAAAATTAATTTTTGAAATACTATCAAACTAATTCTTTAGTAGCATTGTTAAATTTCTTTTGTTAAAAGCATGACTTTTTGCTTAAAACCAAACGCAATTAACCCTTCTTGATACGAGTGGTCAATGTTGTTAAAATCAAGATCTTAAATAAAATTAGAAGACGATTAAAAAATCGTAAAACATAAAAGTGTAATGCAAAAAAATCATAAAAACGTAAAAGCGTTTAGAATATTAGTAAAATCGTTTTCATGAAAAAAAAATCGTAAAAACGTAAAATTTAGTGATAAATCAAGATTTTAATAGTGTACGTATGTAATTTGATATTAATGCAAGGGAACGGTATTGCGGTAGCGCAAGATCTTCAACCTTATATTAAAAACAGAAACGAAAATAAAGTTAAACGTAGGATCGACATGAACCACGCAGTCACGCAGGCAGCCTTTAGAAATGCATTTCACTCTCAAAATAGAAGGTTGTTAACGAAATCTCTGTTCTTATTAATTTCTCTGCCCTTAAAATAGCTTTATTTGAAAACGTGAGGAAAACCAAAAATAAAAAGGAAATTAATTACTAATTAAAAAACTTCAAACAGAGCACTTTTTATGCTTTAAACATAGGATTTAATGTTTATATAGTGAATGTAGATAAGTTATCTACATTCGCTCCCAAAACGACGTCATTTTAGATTAAAAATTAAAAATTTATAATAAAAAAGATTATTATAACCCTGAAATAAATTATAATTATAAAAATATATTAATTTTCGCCTGAAAACGACGTCGTTTTGGGCTCAATATAGATAATTTTATCTACATTGACTGTAGGAAAAGCGAACCCTTAAACATAATACATTATAATACTAAAGTAGAAAATATATATACATTTATGAAGTTTAAGATGGCAATCTTTAGTTGGTGGTAAATGAGATAAACACACGTTGAGACAAATATTTAACCCACTGTATTAAAAAAAAAAATATATATTTAACCCACGTATAGTGCAAACGCATATTAATAATAGGAAAAAATGTTTCTGCAGTTAATGCAGATAAGTTATCTGCATTTATTTCCAAAACGACGCCGTTTTGGTATTGAAATCTTAAAGAATTATAAATATAAAAACTATTATAACCCTGAAATAAATTAAAATTACAAAAACACCATGATTTTCGCTCCAAAACGACGTCGTATTGGCTTAATACAGATAACTTATCTGCAGTAACTGCAGAAAAAGCGAACCCTTAATAATATACCTTAAAACAATAATATAAATCTTTTAGGGCAAAAATAGATGGTTTAGTGTTTATCATTTTATTTTTTTTATAACAAGTGTTTATCATTTTAAATGACATAACTTTGTGTCATTTTTAATGAAACTACGTCATTTTGGTGTGTTTTGTCATTTTTCTAATTTATAAAATTAGAAATAAAAAGAAAATGGAGGAGAAAGAATGTTAAAACACACCAAAACGACGTAATTTCATTAAAAATGATATAAGTTTGTGTCATTTAAAATGACAAATATTTTTTCCAAATAGATAACTATCAAAACCTTGAAAACAAATATTACACATCAAAACCCATTGTTTGTGTTCTAATTAAAGAATATTTATAGTCTTTTAAACTATTTATATTCCTTAATATAAGATATTCATTAATTAATGCCGTTAACCCCTATTCTAAATTCTAAATGGTTCATAAAAATAAGGATGGTGAAAGATAAGCATTGTCTCTTTTAACCTTTGCCATTTCATGTCCCCGTAGTATATAACTGTAATTAACTACTAACTATAACGAGCAAAAGTGGTTAGGTTTTTTTGGTCAAATTAATGATAGAAGATAACGAACTGTATATTCCAAAAAGGGGCAAAGGGAAGGGTTGGCGGTGTGTTAAGATTTCTAGATTAACGCCGAGCCGGAACATGTACATACATGTACAAGATATTGAACGCGTGAATGATAACTAATTATGGAACCTAACAACAAAGTGCAAGCTAATTAAGAATTGTCCCTCTTCAACAGCACTTACTGACGTTTCATAGTTCCAACAAACTGCTTAAAATGCAACACTCAAACATGTTAATTTCTCAAACATTAATTCTTTTATAGAAACAGGCAGAGGTTTTGTAAAAGTGTGTATAGGAAATTCAAGCCACTCGATCGATCAAGAAATATTAAAGATGTCGAGGTCCAATTCAGAGAAGAAACTAGGTGCAGGACGTGTTGTGGCTGTGGCAATTGAGAATAACAAGACAAGCCAACATGCTGCAAAATGGGCAGTGGACAATCTTCTTCCTAAAGACCAAAGTCTCTATCTTATCCATGTTAGACAAAGAGCATCTTCCAATTCCACACCAGGTTTCATTTCTATCTATCTATCTATCTATTTGATGTTTTATAAAACATAACTGTAAAGAACCAATTCAACCCAAAAGCTTGAGCTGATGGGTGATGCTACATTAATGGTTTTATATATCTTAGCACGCCCCCTTACACGAGAGCCCACTGAGCTTGAAGGGTGGACAATGCACAGGTCCACCTATCTGTGCGAACAAAGAAATTCCACTTGAAAGAAAGTGGGGGGCGGTGAGGATCGAACTCGGAACACGAGACTCTGATACCATGTAAAGAACCAATTCAACCCAAAAGCTTAAGCTGATGGGTGATGATACATTAATGGTTTTATATATCTCAACAATAACATAACATGACATAACATGTTTGTTTTATATGACACACATTAATTCCTCACGATGACTACTTGTAGCCCCCGATGTGAAGGAAGAAGTGGTCCCTGACAACGAATCCAAGGAACTATTTGAGTCATTTCGTGTATTCTGCAATAGAAAAAGTGTTAGTTCCAACACATTCATTTTCATCATTAATTCAACAATAAATATATGCACTTATTATGTTAACGAATTAGTGTTGTCTTTATTTGATGTATAGATACAATGCAAGGAAGTGTTGCTGGAGGACACGGATATATCCAAGGCAATAGTAGAGAGCATTTCCACGTATTCCATCGAGCTTATGGTGCTTGGGGCACCAGCAAGGGGTGGCCTTGTTAGGTAATAAAAAGTGTTTTTTGTTCAACTTTATTATGCACAACATATATATAGTTTAATAATATTACTCCAAACGCATAAGATATTTTAATATATGGGTTCCATTTTTCTGCAGCTGTAGCAAAAAGATTTATCTGCCACAGATACATTTATCTAGATCTGCCGACGGATCCTGGTAAAAATGTATCTGTGGCTGACAAAAACTTTCTGCTGCAAAAGCAGAAATACTTTTACCTTAATATAATGTAAGAATATGATGAAGTAATTAAATGATGTAGATGTAAGACTCCAGTTTAGATCATAATAGAAACCTGTCTTGATGAAATTTTTATGACAGAAGATTTAGAGCAACGGATGTTCCAAGCTCTGTGACAAAGGGGGCACCGCCATTCTGCACTGTTTATATAATCTCAAAAGGAAAAATCTCAAGTGTGAAGAGTGCTTCTGCTCCACTTCCTTCTAATAAAAGTGCTCCTTCCCATAAACAATTGCAGTCTCAGCCAGTCCGAAATCCTGATAGATCAATGGATCATCCACCCACACGAAACTACCCTCCACGTGCACGATGTATGTACATTTCAGTCTCTTTAATTAATATTTTGCTCCCTCTCATCATTCTCATTGCTCAGTGATCTATTATGATCATATAGTACACTTTATTTGTATGTATATATATCAAATGTGATAAATCATTCGTGAGCAATGGAAGGCCAAGTATTGAACATTCAACTATAGTACACTTAATTTGTTTGTATATATATCAATTACAGCTGCAGCACCATTAGCACCAGAGAAACCAGCATATGGAACATCCCAGGTGCAGGATGATCTTGACATCATGTAAGTTAAAACATTAATTCAATGTAGTGTGTGTGTATATATATATTGCATAATGTGGGAGAGGGACTAAACTGATATTCTATACTATAATATGGACAGATCACCGTTCACAAGACCTGGTAGATCAATGCAAAAATATGAGTCTTCAATTCCAGCTGATTGTGATATATCATTCGTGAGCAATGGAAGGCCAAGTATTGATCGAATGTTCCCTTCATTGTATGATGATCTGGATACTGGAATGGTCCCTCCAAGGTTTTCATCAGGTGGCACAGATTTTGAATCCATAAGCATTGCTTCATCCTTCTCAGGATCTAAGTCCATTGACATGAGCTCTCCTAAGGATCATGATTACTCATTCAGCAGCTCCCAAGCCAGTGGCATATTATCATCCAGGGTATCCTCCGACAGCACGGTAAGGACAATTCATGTCTAAGATATGTTAACATGTTACATATATGTAATCAACATGCGTGCTGAAACAATCTACCATATAATAACTACAAACATAAATTATAGGATGAAATGGAAGCCGAGATGAGGAGACTGAAGCTAGAACTCAAGCAGACAATGGACATGTACAGTACAGCTTGCAAGGAAGCTCTTACAGCAAAGCAGAAGGTACGTAGTTTACAGATTTCAAATATATTAAGTACTGTCATGCCATAATCAAAGTTGTTCAATATTGGACAAAACACATCATATAATTTGACACCATATATCCTACAACAGGCAATGGAACTTCAACGTTGGAAATTGGAAGAAGAAAAGAGAATGGAAGAGGGAAAAATAGCTGAAGAAGCAGCGATGACACTCGTAGAGAAGGAGAAAGAAAAGAGCAGAGTTGCCTTGAAGGCGGCAGAAGCATCTCAAAGAATTGCAGTGTTAGAAGCACAAAAAAGAATGAATGCAGAGATGAGAGGCCAAACAGAAAGCAATACAAGGAAGAAGACAGAAGATAGTTTTGGAGCAAATAGGTACAGAAGATACACAATTGAGGAAATTGAAGAGGCAACAAAAGGCTTATCGGACTCTCTTAAGATAGGTGAAGGAGGTTATGGCCCTGTATACAGATGTGAATTAGATCACACACAAGTTGCAATAAAAGTATTGAAGCCAGATGCAGTACAAGGAAGGGAGCAGTTTCAGCAGGAGGTTGAAGTGTTAAGTTGCATAAGGCATCCAAACATGGTTCTCCTCCTTGGAGCATGCCCTGAGTATGGTTGCTTAGTTTATGAGTACATGGCCAATGGAAGCTTGGATGACTGTCTCTTCAGGAGAGGTAAGTCAAGAGCTCTTCCATGGCAACTAAGATTCCAAATTGCTGCTGAGATAGCCACAGGTCTCCTTTTCCTTCACCAGACAAAACCAGAGCCATTGGTTCACCGTGACTTGAAACCCGGCAATGTTTTGCTTGACCGTAACTATGTGAGCAAGATCAGTGACGTAGGGTTGGCCAGGCTTGTCCCTCCTTCAGTTGCAGACACTGTGACTCAGTATCGCATGACATCAACTGCTGGAACTTTCTGTTACATTGATCCTGAGTACCAGCAAACCGGCATGCTTGGAATCAAATCTGATATTTACTCACTAGGGATCATGCTTCTGCAAATTGTAACGGCAAAACCACCAATGGGTTTGACACATCATGTTGCAAGATCCATTGAGAAGGGGACTTTTGTTGATATGCTTGACCCTTCCGTTGAGGACTGGCCAATTGAACAGACCTTACATTTTGCCAAACTTGCACTCAAATGTGCTGAAATGAGGAGAAAAGATAGACCTGATCTTGGAAAAGTTGTGTTACCTGAGCTTAATAAACTACGAGCATTTGCTGAAGAAAACATGCCTATGATGATGATGTTTGGAGGTACTACAGGATTCACTTCTAGTACTACAGGATTCACCTCTAGCACTACAGGATTCAATTCTAGAAGCAGCACCTCTTCCACTGGTCAAGTGAGTCATCATTCCTTGATCACACTTTGTTTCTTTTTTTATTCAGAAATTTACCACAATGATTCTTTTATCACATCAAAATGAATGTTAGGTTTTCTTGTAGGATATTAGGAGTGAATCCCAGACACTATCAGGCATCTCCGGATATGAAAGCCGCTCAAGCACATCATCACTGGGGAGAATGTAAATTGTGCACATAATTCTTTTACCTTTCCAATGATATAATTTTATGAAACAAATTCAGGTTTATAGTCAAATGCTTTTTTTCAATCCTTAAGCCTGAGATGGATAAACTGTGTTCAAAGTGGTCCGAGAGTGAATACCAGGCAGGCAGGCACAAACCTTGTTCCACAATAGTTTCACGACATGCAGATGGATAACCATATGTTTTGACAAATCAAAGAACGCTTGTACTTTATTCTCTACGAAGATCTTATTTTCTACCATTAGACTTTTACTTACACAAGTAGATATTTCTTCCCCTTCCCTTCTGAGCTTGAACCTTGAACTAGCGTAATCTCATTTACTGACCACACCATTTGTGATTGTGGTTGTGGGTTCTCATAAGGTGTCTGATGGAACCCCAAACAATTAATAGCAAAAAGTAACTAAAAATGACAGTATATTCGATTAATATAAACTGAGAAATGGGTTTCCCCTTTACAATTAACAGCAACACATTACTACTTGATAGTTGATACTACTACCTAACTCAGAAATAAGACTCACAGTACTCAATTACAATATAGAAATATTGGAAATAACAATGCAGAAAGATAAACTCCAAAGGTCTCTACTCACCCTCAAAGCCAAAAGACCTAGGCCTCAAGAGATTCCTAGAGATCCTTTCCCAAAACCCCATTTACCATTTGCTTGATTTTATGCTCCTTCACGCTCCCACACTTCCCTCATATTCTATTATTTGAGAATATTCTAGAATAACTCCCTACTAACTAACTAATTAATTATCTCAGGCCCATTACTAATTATCTCAGCCCATGAGTGTCTAACAACAAGAACTTTAGATTACACAACTCAGCAGATGAAATTCTTCCTTTCCACTTTTTTTCAGCAGCTTTACTTGAAATTGAACTCTAAATACTCCATTTCCAAAAGAACTTTAGATTGATCATCATATAAATTAGTATCAAATAAGATTCATTTACTCTCATGTATACTTAAGTGTACACATTTATATATGCATGCGTGCATGCATATATAATGTAAGCATGAGTGGAGTGTTTCATCCTGAAAAACTGGAATTGTCTTCAAAATAGACACAAGAAAGCACTAGGATGTTAATAGAGAAGAATAAGGCAATCTACCTTGATCATCACAGGGAAACAAATCTCATTTGACAGCTTGATAGCTTCTTCCTGCTCTGTTACAATAATTCTGGTCATTCAATTGATGGCATGGAAGCTAAATTGACTTCAGACTTGGATTTGAAGCTTTCTATACACCTACGTCTAACAAAACACCTGTAGTAAGAGCATCTCTGACAGTTGATTTGACAATTGTCAGTTGATTTGTCAATTAAGATAACAAAGGAATGACTACTAGGCTCTTCACCAATGCAAACAGCTTCCTTGTCTATGGTGGAGTAGACAGCCACACATGAGTGGTTCCAATAACACCAACAGCAATTTCGCCTGTGTCTGCGACCAGGTTGCACGGAGAGCCCCACCACACCACCACCATATGTCTTTGTCTGTATCTGTTTCTGTGTCAGTTCATGATTATGTTTATTATGTTGCCTGCTACAGAGACTGGGAAACTTCACCTTATTTAACTCCTCCCCACGAACAAGCCCTGCATTGTGGGAGAGACACATATCATACATTCATAACAATTCAAATCAGTTCCCATTTCATTTGAAATTTGAATCAAAATAAAATCAGATTATTCACTGCTTTTATATTGAATTGAATTGTCATAAAATAAGTTAAGAGAAATGGTTATGTTCATTCTTCAACAATTACAGAATAGGAATGAGATTCGAAGAAGAAAAACATTATATTGATTTTACGATCAACCAAAGGCATTTACCAAAAAGATAGAAATAAAAATGAACCAAGAGCACAAACCCAGATAAATAGCTCCCTCCTTATTTTTTATGAAGTTAAAAAAAACGTAACCGATTTTAATTAATTGAGCTACTTCTACAGTAAAACAATGCTCGACCAATTTTTATTTTTATTTTTTTACTTCACGCTTCAAGTTAATATCTACTTGACCTTACACAACATTTGAAGTTTCTCTGTTTCGCAACCCACTTGGATACCGTGGAAGATCGTGAAATCTTCCGCAAAATCTAGCTGCCTAGTGTTTACAAAGGCCCAAGCAACAAGCCATCATTCTATTCAAATGTCAACAATTCCTCTGAATGGAAAAACAAACTAGAACTTTTTACATTCAAAACTATCAAATAATATTAAACCTTTCTTTCTACAATACAGTGAATTAAATATTTCTAACCATGCCGAGAACAATCTTGATCAATATTACAACATCTATGGCTTCAAACACAAATTAACTTTGTCGAGGGGCTCCAAACATTCGATTCAATACCAGTTTAACACCTTGATTGAACTTGTTGCAATAGCAGCAGTTAGCTTCTCCACGGTTGTTTGGATCTTCAAATTTGCATGTACAAAGCAGCTCCAAAATTTCTCCTTACAACTGCAAAAGATCACTTTTAAGTCCCGATGCAGGACAACAACGTTCCCAATGGCATAATAACCACCTTTGAGACAATAATGTATGTCTCCTTGAAACAACCTAAGTAACCAATGTGGAAGAATAGTTAGCATATTACTGGACTCCATCTAAGTGTTCCCACCGTCAGAGCTGCTATAGGCTTGATTTGGAAGGCCACCATTGCCAAAATCTCCAGCCAAGCTCATCTGTTGCACTTCTTGAGGAGAAAGTATTTTAATACAGCGAACACAGTTAACAAACTCCCTGAAATGCCCATAACAATTAAAATATCAGATCAACAAATTGGAAAAATTCAGGGTTTTGGGAATTTCTCTAAATTTAAACATATTTGCAGCCATTATAGATTGTTGGCATTCAGGAATTGCTCCTAATACAAAAAAGATGCACATTAGTCCAGTTCTTTGGGGTCTTGATATTTTCCATCGTGCAAATGGTATGAATAATTTTCCTTTCCCCTTAAATTTCATGATATTGATGCCTTAAAAATACAACTAGAGAAGTAGGAAAGTTAAATTGTTAGCTATTCATATCCCCCTGACTTATCTAAGTGGCTCATGGTTAGTTGCGGATGCAGATAGATGGGATGGGACACTTCAAGCCTACAAACTAAAAGAATGAGACTTAATTTGTCATATCCTTGTCCTAAGGAGAGGGGGAATGCATCAACTGTTGAAAAAAAGTTCTGGTCGGTAGGCTACCACGGTTGACAAAATGATTATTGAACTTCCAAACATTATTTGTCTTGCCAGCTGGATATCCAGCTGGGAATACGCACATGCAAAAAGACAAAGCCAGTGAGAAAAGAACACAGTAGGACTTACTCCCAAGGGTCATCTCCCACTAATAGAACATCATTCTCATGATCTACATAGACAAGTTTCCAACCTATCCTCTGCCGATCCTCCAGCTGTCCCTCTATGCCAAACCTACGAGCTAGATCCTGTTTAAGCTCTTCATAACCTGAATACCGTGTTATGTCTATGGATCTTCCCACTGCTCCCCGTTTATATACCTAAAAGGATGCAAAAAGCTAATTTAGAATAATATAATTTTTTATACATGCAAGAACACATGAAAAGGAACACATGTACCATCAAGACAGATTTACTATTATAATATCAATAACATCAACAATAAACCTTGGTGTATGTCCTCATTCGCTGAAACTGTGCTGGTGGCGGTGCTGGTGGTGGAGCCCATGGACCCCTATTCAAGAAGCTACTATCGTCTATTGTGGAATCAATTGAATTAAAGGTCATATCAGGGACTCCAAATGTCTGTGAAACCATTGAAGATGAAAGTTCCTGCTGAGCATCTCTGTTATTTTCATAGTTACCAAGCATGGCTCCTGAAGAGAAATTATTAGATAAATCCTTCCCCAGCCCCAATGTGCCTTTGGTTAAAATGGAATCTGGATTCAGTGGCATTCCCATTTGGCTATCAATGTTATTGCCATATGGAATATTGCCTCTAGCATCTGCCTGAACTTCCCCATCTTGACTATTGTCTCTAAACAACATCGACTGTGGATTGTAAGATAATGGGTTGTTATTCTGATGCATATGAGCGTCACTCTGAGATAGGCAAACTGATGTTGTAGAAGATGATGTATCCAAATAATCTGTCTGGGCAGCACCACCAGTCAAGTACGTCTGAGGACCAAAATTTCCATGATTCTGATTTTTGGAAATGTTCAGAGAAGGCTTAACTTCAGCCTTTGGCTGTAAATCTTTCAACAAGGTTGCATTTGATGACATGGTTTCTAAGCCACTTGAACTCAAGATTGTGGCAGCAGACTGAGCCATGTCATCCACTACTGATGTGCTTCTATGGAGTCCAGAATTTATCGGTGGTGGAAGTGCATTGGCAGAGTTATTTGTAGAAGGTGAAGTGTTACAAGATGGAACATCATCAGTAATTACAGATTGCCCGACACCAGCTGCTCTGGTCAGTATACCACCGCCAGCAGCAGAGAGCTGGTTGGTTGTTGGGGTAGGGGGAAGTCCCATGTGGCCAGACATTTCAGACAGCAAGCCAGGTTGCTGCTGTTGAAGCTTTGGCTGCTGAGGCAGATGAGAGAATTGAATATTGTTCGGGGCATTAACCTTTGTCATCTGATGTGAGATAGAACTAGCCTCAGGGAGTGAATTTTGAAGTATAGAAGGAATTTCCAGCACTTGACCAGGCGTTAATGCTCTAGACAAGTTCTGTGGTTTATCTAAAAGCTGCCTCTGCTGATCCTGAATTTGAGTAAGTTGAGTAGGCTGCTGCTGTACAGATTGCTGTGCTAAGAGCGTTTGTTTTTGTTGTTGAAGCTTCTGTAACAAATGAAACTGAATCTGATTATCAGACATCTGTAATTGTTGAACATGATCAGGCATAGAGGATTGGATCAAACTTTGTTGCTGATTCTGACCCATAATTGTCTGTTGCTGCTGCTGCTGTGGTGGGTTTTGAGAGAGGCTTCTATGGTGTTGATGGTTTTGAATGGATGGTTGCTGCTGTTGAAGAATACAGTTGGTTTGTACAAGATTCTGAGGATGCAAGAGTTGGGCCTGAACTTGACTGTGTTGAAGTGTTTGATTTGCCAAGTTCTGCCTAGGTTGTTGAGTGATATCACCCAACTGTTGCTGCGGCTGCAGGACTGTCCCCAATGTGCTAGAAGCGGATGGTAGCTTCTGAAGGTGATCAACTTGTTGGGAAGTCTGAAGTAGCCTCTGAGCATTGAAGGCTAAATTGTTTGACTGAGAAATTTGTGGAGCAGAAAACCCAAGCTGACGGGAAATATCTGCACCAGGAAGATTTTGCAGAACAGATCCTGATATGGAAGGCACATAATTTGGCTGCAATGAGCTAGCGAGAGCAGGATTTTGCTGCATGCTCATCCATTGAACTAAGCTCAGGCCAGGGAGACCTTGGGGATCCTTCATGCACATATCATCACCAAGCCAAGGCATTGTCCGCTTGAAGAGGTTATCAAAATCAGATGGATCATCATCTGCGAAAGTTAACACAAAATAAGCAAAATAAACTACAAATTTCCAATCATCATACCGAATTCAAATTTTCCTCCATTAAGAACATCGATAAAATGAAAGGTTTGTCAACATCAACAAACAAGTGAGAAGCTTAAGAAAGAACCAACCTAGAAGAGGTTACTTCGAAAAACCAATATATTTCATTTTTGCATCTAAAACGTATATAGTATAATTATTTACCAGGCATTCCCGGTTGTCTTGGCCTCTTGGATCTAAAGAACGGAGGACAGATGAAAAAAGGAGCAGTCACAGGTTCAATTTCCCAGATTGAGACCCTGCTACGCTTTTCGCCAGCAGTTGATTCATCCCAACCAACCTGACCAATGATATGTAAAATTTAACCACTGCCTATGAAGATAAAAAAAAATTGAAAAAAAAAAGGCATGTGTTGAGATATATAGTCCCACATTGATTGTGTAGGCAACTAATATGGCCTTTATAAGGCCTTGGACACTCCCACCCTTTGAGCTAGCTTTTGGATGGTGTATCTCAAGGTTCTTTACATGGTATCAGAGCTTGAGTGACTATAAGGTCACAAGTTCGATCCTCACGGCCCCCCCCCACTTTCAAGTGGAATTAAAATAAAAAGCACAAAAAGGTAAACCAAAAATTGGACCTGTGCAATTCCACGCTTCTAGCCCAAAGGGCTCTTGCGTGAGGGGGCGTGTTGAGATATATAGCCCACATTAATTGTGTGGGCAACTAATGTGGCCTTTATAAGGCCTTGGGCACTCCCACCCTTTGAGCTAGCTTTTGGGTGGTGTATCTCAAGGTTCTTTACAGCATGCTCTCCACCAACCCCAACTAGTTTGGGATAAAAAAAGTGTTGTTGAAGTTGATATTCTTAAAATATAAATCTCCTGGGTTCAACTACTGATATGAACGGAAAAAAATTACGTTGTTGAAATGTTAAAGGATGATAGAAAAGGTACCTGCAAATTACGCCATTGAGAGTTTTTCCATCTCACAGGATCAAGATCACTGATACCTGTAATAGTACCCATATACCTGCAACGCATTTGAAATGATTAATTTAATATTTATTATCTAAACCATTTGCAAGTATAATATCTATTCCCAGCCAACATCTATCCCAGGAATGCTGTATAAAATGTTAGTTCAAAATGAATTGGATTGATAAATCAACAATGATTCCCAAAGCAACTAAATTACAAACCAAACCAATTACATCTTCCAATTATGATATTCAACCACCCATGTTCATTTCATGAAGGCACTATTTTCAACTTAATCATTGACAATTTTTTACAAAATATACTTCTGATACATGGGCTTAAAGTGAGGCACCTTCTTGTTCCCGAGTCTTCAGTTTCGAACATCATTCGGAAACGCATGCCAGGTGATATTTGGTGGTTGTAAACAGCCTTGTAGTACTTTGCTAATGGGATAACAAATTCTGAGGGACTAGCCCTGCAAACAAAAGAAATATTAAGTTTGAAACATTATGATTGAGAACATGGGTTCATTTGACAAAGTGAATAGTCTATGCCTTTAGAATCTGACTGAACAGACAAGAAAGAAAACTGGAAATTAAAGTAATTAGTACTGTAAGAACAAAGGAAATGAAAGATACTGGACCTAGGATTATAAAAGATGGTGAAGGGACTGTTGTTTGCCGCAGCATGGGCTGCTGCAGCAAGAATTCCAATGTGCATACTATCACTTGATAGTACTGAGGATGATATATTGGTAGGTTGCCTGTTAGCTCGTCTGATACCCAAAAGAAGCTGCTGCTTTTCATCTCTGCCCAGAAACATTCAAATTCAGGAAATATAAACAAAAAGTAAGTCATTTACTTAAATGAGTTGAGCCTAAGCGTGAAAATATGATTACGGTGCTTCAACCTATTTTAAGACAATTTTGAAACCTTGCACTCAAACACTAACAATACAGAAGGTATCAATTAATTACCCTAACCTTATAAATAAAACAGAGTCTCCGGCAAAAAGCCTCTTTCCACTGACAAATAGACTCCATCCAGTTGTAAGCAAGTGACGTTTTGGTTGTCCTAGTTAAAGGGTATCACAAATAGGCAAAATATTTTCAAAAAAAAGGGGATTAACAAATTACGGGATAAGTTTCTGATTGTACAGTTGTTTCAACTTAAATATAGCCACTACATAAAACATACCGCGGTATATATGACGGAATGTCCAAACAGTATCATGCAAATCTCTGGCCACAAGTTCTTGAGCAGGAGGTTGCATAGAATAATCCTATATGGAAACATGGAATATATCAAGCTCTGAAGTTTGAGTTGATTAATTGAAATAGGGAATACACCTACAAGAAGGGGGAAAATCTTCTCCGCTGCTCGGCGAGGTACAGAGAAACCTCCATGAGTACTCGTATCACTTGCCGTGAGTTGTTTACAGAAAAAGTCAGGTTGGGTCTTGCTTGACTTGAGAGCAAGATCTGACCTTAATAAAGCATCCTTGTCAAACTGCAGAGAGATAATAACCAGGTTTATGTTTACTGTATTTGTAAGAACTAGGAATAACAAGTATATTGAATATTGTACAAATTTGATGTTTAGGCATATCATATGAGTGATTGTGAATGATGCTTACAGAAGGCACCGGTTGAAGTGTCATCTGAGCATATACTTCATCGGTTTCAGGATCAGCCTGGCGAAAGAGGAAAAGGAGAAATTAAAAAAAAAAAAAAAAAAAAAAGGATGTTATCAAAAAAAAAAAAAAAAGGAAAACCCTAAATGTTAGTTTGTTAAAGAAGGAAAGTTGTCATACATGCAAGGTGACATTGTGAAGGAGACAGAGTAACTTTGAGGGAAGATTGGGATAGTTGGGAACTTGGGCGTCGACGTCTTTCTTCAAAGAAGCCGCAACCTGAAAGACGAAGAAATGAGAAATATATATATATATATATTATGATTGGGATATTTAGGGAAGAAATGAATGAAATGAAATATGAAGAAGAATAGAGAAAAAGAGTTGACCTGTTCGCTGTGGCCTTGAGGGAAGTAGATAACGTGAGTCCCAGCGTGGGGAAGGTTCACCAGTGGCCCCGCACAAGCTTGCCATAGCTCCTGGTTTATGCTCTTCTTCTCTGCAAACAAACCAACTTATTTATTACTAATTCAATTGCAAAGGGATGAAGAAAATTAAAGAGAAAGCCATCAACCAACACTTGTTTATTATTATTATTATTATTAACTCTGCATATGAACAGAGAGAGAGAGAGAGATGAGGTTACCTTGGGAGGGATTGGGTGGAGCAGCGGAGACACCGTCAGGCTGAGGTTGCGTCTTCATTGCAGATCCTTGATGAATGAGTGTCTTATGTCTATCTATCTATCTATGAAACAATTCAATCCATCAAGAGAGAGAGAGAGAGAGAGAGCTGCAACATGCAAATGAAACAGCTCTGGCTGGTTGGAAAATCAATTGAATGAGGGAAAAAGGGAAGAGAAGAAGAGTATTGTTGGATTGTGTGAGAGAGAGAGAGAGAGACCAAATACCAAATCAAAAACAATATCAATGCCATGCCCAGACACACATCTTTCTCTCTCTCTCTCTTTCAGATCGACGAGGGATGTGGATGGCTGACTAATAGAAAGGAATGGAATAGCCCAACACCTTTTTCTGTTGAGTTGACCTCCGGAGTCATGGACGGTTCTTCACTCTTACTTTTTTTCTTTTTCTTTTATAAAGTTACGATTAGTTTGATTCGGGACAGATTTTATATTAACACTTTAAATTTTTTTCAAAAATTATACTAGAAAGAATGAACACATGCACTAATGTCTACATGTTCAATTTACTAACACCAACTAAACTATCATTACTCTTACTTCTTTTCTTTCTTTCTGGTGTGGTTATGTTTTTTTCTTCTATTTTTATTACTATTACTAACCACTCACCAATCCATTATTCCCCTTTTCATGACCTTTACTTAATTAACTCCTCACTCCTTCTACTTCCCACTCTAAACCAATCAAAATCATTTTTTTCTATTATTATTACCACTATTCTCCACTACTCATCATAATTATATCATTGACATTTCATCAACGCATTTTACAAGATTCCAACTATTGTTAACTGACAATTTCTATTAGAGACGCAAAATAGGCTCGGCTCGGCGGGTCAACCCGTCAAACGGGGTGGGGCGGACTGAGTTTTTCAACCCATCTCAAAAGTGGAACAGGGCAGGACGGGCTCATTTTTTGGCGGGTTGATGGCGGGACGAGACAGGTCAGTGTAAAATAGGCTTGGACTGACGGCACAACCCGGCAAACGGAGCGGAGCAGACTGAGTTTTTCAGCCCACTTTCAAAAGCGGAGTGAGACGGGCTGACTCATTTTTTGGCTGGTTGATGAAGGGATGGGACGAGGCGGGGCGGGCCGACTATTTTACCACTTCTAATTTCTATCCACCATTTTCCTTCCACAAGCATCCTACATGCAATTATTATTCATTCTTATTATTAACTCGTTTTTCATAACTCTGTAAATCAAATATGAATTCTTCATGTTTACCTAAAAAATTGACAGTAATGATAACTAATCACAAGCTTCAATAAACTAAAATCATGTCTATTTAAACTATTTACTAACCACCGATAAATTATATAATTCGCTGATCATACATAAGTGTAATATAAATAAATATCTCATGTTATATCTCTGAGAGTTATTGGTGTGATGACGACTCAATTAAATCTTATGATTTCATCCGTCCAAAAAATAGTAAGTTAAAAACTCAATTCGTAAGAAGGGTGAAAAGATACTATTTTAAATTAGATTAGTCAGATTCATTCTTGATCGATACTTCATGGTGAATTGTGTCATTAAAATCACAAGGATTTAAAACAGTAAAAAAGAATTTCTATGAAATAGTTTTAGTCATTTATTGCGAATACGAAACCCCCTCTTTTGTAAATCATTATGACAAGATTGCAAGGATCCTATGCATACATATATTATATTATATATTTAACAAAGAAACTTGTCATTATAAAAGTTATGTTTTTTTTTTTTTAAATTGTTCTAATGATATTTGTAGCGGAAAATCAAGGATTAATTACTTCGAGACAGAGAAATCACGCAATTATGGGTATAGTCTCTTAACAAAAAAATAAATTATACACACGATCAAAGATCAAATCCTCTATCAGCATGTTTAAATGACCCAATTATCTATCAATTTTGCCCCTCTGTTGCTAAGTTATGTTTTCTACAGTAACTGACATTATGGCTAGATGGAAAAGAGTAAAATGGAATTTATTTATTACTATTAGCTTAATTGCTCTTTTAGGAAGAATTCATAATTGCCGTTGCTACGTACTCACATAAAGAAATCATGAAAAGGATGAATTGGTCATTGCAACGAGAAAAGGAAGGGAATTTCATGTGGCTTTCTATTATTGGGTTGATGACAAATGAGCTTGCCCGCACATGGCCGCGAAACAGCCAGTTCATTTATTTATTTGTTTATTCATTGATTATGTTATTTCAATAAATGTGTGTTTTAAAGAAGACTACTATCTCTCCGAAGAAGCCCATCTTTGTGCTTATCGTAGTTGATAAACCACTTTATACTTTAAGAATATTAATTATTTATGTAGAGTAAATAATATTTCAGATACGAATCTTTAAAAATAACTTAAGTATCACTCAAATATTATTTTATAGGTCATAAATAATTGACAATTTAAAAAAATGAACTATACAAGTCATATAATTATTTTGCTTACAAAACCTTATTCATTTGTTAATTAGAAATTATCGCATTTTGTTTTTATAAATATATTCATTATATGCTGTTGTGTTGTTGAAAAAAATAATACTTGTAAGTTGTAACCATGCCCAATTTTAAGAGCAATTCAATGTTACCCTTTAAGTCATTCATCTTCTATTGTTTTTGTTTAGTAATAACTGTAGTGAGTAGTCTGTGTGACTGTGTCTAGCTTTTTTATAAATAAAAAAAATTACATCTGAAAAAATATCATTTCCTATTTATTTGTGATATAGTTCTATTATTTATATTAAAATTTAAATTATTAACAGATATAACCGATTTTATGTTATTACTAAATTATATTATTATGTTCAATAACTATATTCTCAATAAAAGTCAATTTTATTTTTTAGCTAATTTCAAATATATTTATTATTTATCTAAATATTAATATATAATTAATTAATACATAAATAAGATAAAAAGAATTGAATTAGGATATTCTTAACCAAATATACTATTTGCATAACCAAGTCACCTTTTGTAGATTCTATCCCAAAAATATAAAGAAATTCATGCATTGCTAAAATACGACTACCGCAGCGTCAAAAAGATTGGATTTCTACAAACAACCCAAAGTTTCTATCCATCCTCCTGGAAAGTTACATGTCCAACAATTGGCCTTTTCAAGGTAGTGTTGTTTTTGTAATGCATGACCGGAATAATTTGTGGGTCAAAAGTTTTGCCAATATAATGCATAACAACGCGGTTGGAGAACTGACGTTTAAGGACGTGATAAAAAGCATACCGCGTCCTGTACAATTTTTTTGACACGGACGTGATACCTTACCTACCACGTCCAGTACAGGCCTGTCAGTGCTCTTAAGACATGATACCTTACCTGTCGCGTCCTGTGCAAAACATGATACATTGAATCGTTCCTTCTTCGCTTTTAAGATATATACAACGAGAATTGTTTATCTCATTTAACATGATCCAAATAAATATCCAAAAAAACTTATTTACCTACAGTTACATATATGGGAAAGAGGAGAGAGAATAGAAGAAAAAAAAAATATCAATAGATCCCACCACTCAATATGTAAGTGTAGAAAAATGAGTTTATCTCATGTCAAAAGAGAAAACAAATCCCATATAGAATAATAAGAAGAAAAGTCTTGCATCCTGTATATCGAATTAATATTACTTTTGAATATTTATATTTCTTGTAGTCTAATTGTACCAAAAACAGAATATGATTAAAGGGGTGTTATTTGCCTATTTTATAATTAAATAAAAATAGACGCTTATATAATTTAGGTAAAATATAAATTAAAATATTTTTTGAAAATTTTAAAATTATAATGGAATATGCATAATTAATTTAAGAAAATTTTTAAAAAATATAAATTAAGAAAATTTAAATTGTAAACAATATATGCATAATTAATTAACAATAAATTCAAAAAATAAATTAAGAAATATATATTATCTTTTGAAAAATTTAATTACTTTTTACAAATTAAGTTTCATTTTAATACGTCAAAATAAATATAAAATTGTTAACTATCCAATACTTACCTATAAATATCTTGAAGGCTGAACAGAATGGAAAAAATATTTATTTTAAAAAATATATATAATATTGGGTTATTTTAACTAAAATTATTATATTTTATATATAGTGAGAGAAATAATTACACAATAAAAAACCATGGTGTGTGAGAGTGAAAGTTTATTGATAGAGTTTTTAAATTTAAATATTAAATAAAATACTACTATTTTACTTAAAATAACACATATTTTATACTTTAGAAAGACAAATATTTTTTGAAAGAGAATAATAAACAAAAGAAAAAGTAATAAATGTTAACCTCTCTTTTTGTCGTGAATCAGATAAAAACTTATAAATCTTGATTCTTCAGAAATACGGTAAACCCTAAACTTATACATATGATTTTGCACAGGACGCGGAAGGTAAGGTATCATGTCTTAAAAGCACTGACAGGCTTGTACTGGACGTGGTAGGTAAGGTATCACGTCTTAGGAGCTCTGATGATCGTGCCAAAAAAATTGTACAGGACGCGGTATGCTTTCTATCACGTCCTTAAACGTCAGTTCTCCAATCGCGTTGTTATGCATTATATTGGCAAAATTTTTGACCCACAAATTATTCCGGTCATACATTACAAAAACAACACTACCAAGGTCAAAAGGCCCCAACAATTCAACACAACTTGCAGCGAAGAACTCATTCGAACATATATATATATATATATATATATATGAAAAAATGTTTGTCATTTTAAATGACAGAAAGTTATGACATTTTAAGAGAGATACAGACACAGAAAATTTAAATTTTAAATTAAAAAAAACCTCTCACTTTCTCTCCCATGATTTTCGTTTTTCTGTGTATATCTCTCTCCTAAAATGACATAACTTATGTCATTTAAAATGACAAACACCAAACCCGTATATATATATATATATATATATATATATATATATATATATATATATATAGGGTCAGGATCATTTTACACCAGTGTAAGTTACACTCTCAATCTTATCCGTTGATTCTATTTATATTTAACGGCTAATTTTTTTTAGTAATGTGAGCCATTGAATACAAGTGGATCAATGGTCAAGATTAAGTGTAAGATTTCTAACTCTTACACCGGTGTAAGAATATCCTGCCCATATATATATATATATATATTCGTGTGACTAAGTACGCTTATCCAAAGGTTAGAGACAATCACGAAGAAAGTCAGGGACTGTTTCTGTGCTTGTTTGATTAGTGAGCAAAGCATCATGAGCAACCAGACAAA